CTGGGATTGCATTGCTGGGATTATAGGTGTGTGCCACCACAACCAGCCAAGAAGTTACATTTTAAACCAATTTAATAGTTAGCAAACTAGTACTAGAAATTATGCCTCTTCTTAAATTAGCATGTGTCGTTTGACTCAACATCTTTTTTAATGCTTTGCCAACTATAAGGCCCAGTTTCTAAAAATAATTATACAGTCATCTTCTTGTTACTAACAATATTCTGTTTTCTTCTTGCAAAATTATAATTCTTCTGAGTATTCTGTAACCTCCAAATTTATTCCTTTTTTTTTAGTACTGGAGATTGAACCCAGGGGCATTCTACCACTGAGTTATATCTCAGCCCTTTTTTATTTTGAGAATTTCACCAAATTGCCAGGCTGACCTCCATCCTCTTGCCTTAGCCTCTGGAGTACCTGGAATAACAGGATTGTGCCACATGCCAAATACTTGTTCTTCATATATGACTCAATAAAGAAAAAAATATATATATATATGTATATATGTACATACACATACGGAGAGAGGTTATTTGGTTGCTGTTTTATGTATTTATTTTGTGGGTTTTTTTTTTTTTTTTTGTACTGGGTATCAAACTCATGATTTTGCATTTGCTAAGCAGGCACTTACACCACTGAGCTGAACCACTGGCCCTTTGGTTTGTTTATTTTTGTTTTTGTTTTTTTGGTTCAGGGGATTGAACTCACAACCTGGTGCTTGGGCTGGGTTATGCCAGTTTCTATTTTCAACCTTTTTCCTTATCACTTACTGTGATAGAGCAGAATACTCTAAGCACATATTAATTGATTTATTTATGGCAGGTTTACTGAATGCCTGCTCTATGCCAGGCACTGTTTGAAGTATTTGAGCTACATGAAGAATAAAATTAGTCCTGGGGGTGTAGCTCAGTGGTAAAGCACTTGCCTGCCAAGCATAAGACTGGGTTCAGTCTCTAGGACTGGGAAGGAAGATGAGGCCAGGAAAGAATACATAAAACTAATAAATAAAATTCTTGCTCTTATGGTACTTTTACTATAGGAAGGTGAGCGTATTAGTAGACAACTAAGCACAAAATCGTAGTATGCAAGGAGAAAAGTAAAGCAGCAATGGAAATAGAAAATGAGTATGTGAATCTCTGTGTGTGATGTTTTAATTTAGGGAAACAAGACATAGATCTCCACACTGAAAAGCTGACAGTTAAACTGAAATCTGAAGAGAATCAAAATGCAAACCATGTGGGAGGGGGATGAGGTGGGTGCACGCCTCTAATCCCAGCATTGGGGAGGCTGAGGCAGGAAGATCACTGTGAGTTCAAGACCAGTCTGGGCTACAAAGTGAGCTCAAGCCCAGACTGAACTGCACAGTGAGACCCTGTCTCAAAAAGACAAAAGAAAACAAAACAAACAATAAACAAACAAAATAAGCACATGCCATTGGCTGTGTACAGGCAGAGGGCGCAGCTGGGCGGGGGAGAGATGTTCTGGAATTAGCAGAGCTGGAGTCAATTCAACTCATGGACAGGGTGATCAAACGTGGACCCAGGATGGGGAGCAAAGGGACAAGGACAAGGTAGGCCCTAAGCTGTGGAACTCTGAAAACTACTAAAAGGACTGTGGCATTTACTACGAAGAAAATAGGGTGCCATGTGTGAAAGGTTTTGAGGAGTGAACTGATAAGAACTGACCAGGGTTTTGTTTCTATGTTGAAGTGTTCTTAAAGGGGACCCAAAGACAGAAGCAGAAACTCTGAGATCAGTTAGAAATCTGTCGTCACAAATTGGATAAAAATTATGTGGATTTGGACTTGTTTGAAATTGGAATAGTTTTTGAAATGCTGCCCTAAAGATTTATGGATGGATCCAATCCTTTGGAAGATGCTTGTAAGACGTGGGAGGCTCCTGAAGCAGGACCCAGAGCAGCAAGAAGATTTGGGACACAAATTTGAGAGTCAACAGCAGATAAATCTTAGCTTGGGGGAGCCTGTGTGTGCTCCCCCAGAGATTATAAGCAGGGAGAAAGTCCAAGGACCAAGCACTGCAACATTCTGACACAGTGGAAATCTGAGAAGGAAAGAGTGAAAATTGGCTTTTGAATTTAGCAATACAGAGGAAACTGTTTTCATTTTTAGTAATACATCCTCTCATATATAACATTGCCTCTTAATTTCCATGTGAATTTGAATTGCTTTTTTTTTGGCTTTTTGAGACAAGTTCAGGCTGACCTTGAGCTCACTTTGTAGCCCTGGCTGGTTCCTAATTCGAAACGATCCTCCTGCCTCAGCCTCTTGAGTACTGGGATTACAGGCGTGAGCCACCACGCCCAGCTGTGAATTTGAATTCTTAAACTCTTGAGTTTTAGACATACTAGTGAATTCATAGTTGTTATGGAAACCTTTATGGTGAGTTATGGAAACCTTTATGATGAGTTTTGTTGTTGTCGTTTTTCTTGTTGTTGTGTTTTATACCAGAAATCGAACTCACAACCTCACATTTGCCAGGCAAGCGCTGATGCTGCTGGGCTATGTCCCCAGCCCCCAAGAGGGGTTTCTTGTTGATTTTTATTAATTGGACAGTCTTACTATGTAGTTTAGGGTGAAATTCATTTCACTATATAGCCCCGTCTGGCCTCTAATTAGCTTCATTCTCCTGCCTCAGTCTCCTCAGTGCTACAACTACAGAAATGTGTCGCCATGTTCATCTATCCTCTAGGTGAACCTAGCTACAATGACGGATGAACACCAAGATGTTTGTGCTGGGAATGTAGTTCAGGAATAGAACACTGGCCTAATATGTGCAAGGCTAGGTCTGAGCTGTGTTGCAATAATGTACTTTAAAATGCATACAACATGAACTATGTTGGAAGCTTTATAAAAGCCATAATCATAACTCTTTCCATATGTCATAGACTAGCCCTGTAGTATCCTAATCTTCATGTGGTCTCTCAGCCACTTTCTTCTGAGTATTTTAAAAGTTACTTTCCTCCCTATTTTTGGTCCACCCTGACACATGTGAATGTTAGAATAAAGCAAACTTTTTTCTCCATGAATGATCACCAATTTCTGGATCTCAGCTCTCTCACATATGTCATAACTAACACATTTTCAAACAAGCTTTTTCTTCTATTATACAAGGCCTCACTATGTGACCCAGAGTGGCCTCAAATTTGACGATCCTCCTGATTCAGCCTCCTGAATGCTAGAACTGTAGGTATGTGCTGCCATGCCAGCCTCCATAATTATCTTACTTTTTTTTTTTGACAGTATGGGGGTTTAAACCCAGGACTTGAATACAGTGCTCCATTTTTTATTTAGTATTTTTTTATTTTGAGACAGTCTCATTAAGTCACTGAATTGCCCAGGCTGAGCTAGAACTTTTCATCCTTTTGCCTCAGCCTTGAAAGTGTTTGTGTTATAGGCATGTATTATCATGCCCAGCCTCCTTGAATAAATTTTAAATGAACAAACATTTAGAGCTGGGCAGAGTGGTACACGCCTGTAATCCCAGCGCCCTTAAGGATGAGGCCAGAGGAACTCTGTGAGTTTGAGGCCAGTGTGAGCTACACACTGAGATCTTGTCTCAAAAATAAAATAAATCCATAAATGTTAAACAAAAAGTACAATATGGGTATTGTCTCTTTTGTGTTTTTTTTTTAGAGTCTCACTGTGTAATTCAGTCAGGCCTAAAGTTCTCAGTGATCCTCCTTATTTAGTCCCCCAAGTGCTGGGATTATAGGCATATGCTATGGTGCCCTGCATACAATTTTGAAATCAGGACCTTTTAAGATGTTTTAAATAATGTAATAACACCATGTATCTAGGTATTTATGTGACCTCTAGGTAGTAGGTAGTGTGTGTTGCTTGCACACTTCCTTTTTCTTTCATGTTTTACTATATGGTTCAGACTTGCTTTGAACTCACTTTGTAGCCCTGCCTGGCCTCAAACTTGCTTAGATTCTCCTGCCTCAGCCTCTGGAGTGCTGGGATTACAAGCATGTACCACCACTGCAGACTCTGGCTCCTGGTTGCTTTATTGTATACCTTGAGGAATTTCCTCCCACATCCCAGTCATGGAATTAATATGTGCTATTCTGTTAGTGACCCCCAGATGTGTGCTTCAGGAAGATGGAAGTTGTTTTTTTTGAGCCTGTCGGAGCGCCTACCCATCTATTGTTGTACCTCCCTCCCCAACTCCTCTGTGAATCAGTATTAAGAATTGAAATCATTGCATTTGGATCCAGAACACAGCTGTGATGCTAAATATATTTTTATGATGCATGCTCACGCTTTTGTTTCGGTAGTTTATTGTTGTTTTTAAAGATTTTTTTGTTGTTTGTTGATTTTGTTTTGTTTTGTTTTGTTTTTGAGACAGAGTCTTGTTATGTAGTTCAGTCTGGTGTAGAACTCACTATGTAGCCTAGCCTGGTCTTGAGTTCACTGAAATTCTCCTGCCTCATCTTCCCAAGTGCTGGGATTACAGGCGTGTATCACCATATCCCATTTATGCTAACACTTTTTAAATCTTCACAAACTATCAGGAAGTAACTGCTGAAATAGAGTCCTAACTCACTATCTGCATGCAGCTGTTGGGAAACACCTCCTATGTACTATTTGAAACCCAGGAAGGCCAAGTCTCCTTTAGCTTCAACCGCTGCCTAATATTCTTAAGCATTCACTACATGCAAGAGACATGAGCTGTACTGAGAGTCGGAGAAAAGAATGGAAAACGAGGGCAATGCCACAAGTCAAAACTCACAAATGACCAAAATAACACTGTAAGACTAATCACTAAGTGGAAAAAGTTGCTTTAACTCGAACCCAGGACTCTATCTTCAAATCAACAATTCTCTGTAGGGTGTATGCATTCAGTAATCCCACTCCCTAACCCACGCCCTAGGCCTGGCTGCCAAAACAGCACCGCCTACCTTGCTTGTCTCGAGGGTGTGGTCACGTGATAGGGTGGGACCAATCAACAGCCAGTCCGCCTGGTGGGGGTCTTCCATAAAGCCCCAGACACGGCCAGCCGGCTATCCTGCGGCAGCCATTTGGACTGGAGCTACTGACGACGTCCGGCAAACGGAGCCTCTGCCCCGTACTACTTCGTCGAGTGCAAGCAGGAAGAGACAAACCGATAAGGTCCTTTTCGTAAAAGGTAATAGAAATTCTGCAAATGGCACCACACTAGCTGTTCATCTGGTGAGACCCCGGGGAAGAAAACCGTTTTTTCCTCTTCCCCCTCCCCCATTAACAATGGGCGACGGGCAGGGCAGTTAGGGAGAAACCACCGAGGTGCGAGCCTGAAGTCTGAGCTGTGAGTTGCTTTAAGAACTGTTACCAGTAGGCCGTTTTTCACCCCTTTCCTGTCTCCTCCCCATGCTTGTTTTTCTGCAAGGGTTGGGAGTAGGGCTGGGAAGAAGGAGATTGGGGCAGCATCCACAGAGTTGCACACTTGGACTGTTAGCTCTTAGGTCTTGGACTGATAGGTTCCTCTTAGTGCTGTAAATTGGGCATGGCAGAAGTTTAACTGGCATCTGCGTTTAATATTGGTTGACATTTGGAAAGACAGATCTTTTTCTTGATTGATTGATTGATTCATTCATTCAATTAACTTTTAAATTTTCAGAACATGAAAAGCTCCTGCTAGGGGGCTGCAGAATCGGAGGTGGGCTTGACCTTAAGGTACTGCCCTTTGAGTGAAGCTCTAGTAGAAGAATGTTTCAGAGAAATAGGTGATAGGGCGGAATAGGGTGGCACAGGGATGGCACTGTGAGTCTTTGAATGACTGAGCCAATGTCAGCTTGGGTGGTGTAGCAAGAGATGAGGCAAGTGAGATGCACCAGGGAGCACACTATAAAAAGTGTTAAAAAGAAAGACAGTGTATTGAAGAATGATCTCCCTCCTTTATATATATATTATATATAATATATATGTATTTGTACTGAGGATCAAACTCATTAACTCCCACTTTCCAGGCAGGTGCTTGTGCTCCTGAGCTAAACTCCTGGGTCCATCATTATTACATTAATTCATGTGAAAGATGACAAATGATTGAACAAAAGCAGTGGGTTTGGGAGACATTGAATGAGAGAATATATAAATTTACATTTAGCAGTCACTTGTATAAAAGTATTCGCTACCTTGGAGTGGCTGAGAATTGCATAAGAAAATGTGTAAATTTATATTGGGAGAGGGTTAAGACAGGGACTTGCTATATAGTTCACACTGGTCTTGACTTCCCTGTGTAACCCAGGCTCCAACTCATGGTGATCCTTCTGCCTCACCCTCCCAAGTGTTGGGACTGCAGCCTGTTTACCATCATCCCTAGCTGCTTTATAAATATTTAATAAGTTAACAAATAGAATTTGGAAAATGGTATCCTGGAAACCAGAGTAGAGTTTTAAGAGAGTCATAATCATACTCAAGTAGCCTGTTACTGTAAGGCCAAGTAAGATTCAGAAAGAATCCATTGGACTTAATAACTAAATATGGTAAGTGTTAAATAGTTTGTGGGGATTTTTGGTAGAATATGAGGAAAAGTGTGAAGTGAGGAGTAAAAAGAAAGTAGTTTTTGCAGACACCCAATATGAGATACAGAGCAGATTGAGACCACAAGCAGATAATAGATAAAGATTTGGAGTATTTAAGTATTTATTATTGGGTATTTAAGTATTGATTATGAAGAGATACTAATGACATACAAACTCCAGTCATCTTAAGGGAAAAATTTTTAATGAACTTGAGAAAATATGTACAGAAATGTTGAAACAAGCACAGGAACTGTGTATGTGGTGGTACATACCTGTAATCCTAGCTACTTGGGAGTCAGGAAAGGATGGAAAGCTCATGCCCAGCAAGTTGGGCTATAAGACAATTTAGCAGGACTGCCTCCAAATTTAAAAAAAAAAATTGCAGAAGTAGCTCAATGATAAAATCTTTGTCGTGTAATTCAATCCCTGGTACCTTTTTTCATTTCTTTTTCTTTTTCTTTTTTAGTTAAAGATAGAGAAAAGAAAGAGCAAAGACCTTCAGGAGTGGGTATTATCTTAGTCTCAGGACTCAGAGTTCTAGACCGGAAGGCTCCTCAGACTGAATGGCTGAAAGCATTGGCCCAGAGAAGACTAATATCTAAACTATATAAGGAGCTTAGAAAACTTAGACCTTCCCAAATTTAAAGACCCACTCCATATATGGGCATCTGGAGAATAGACACTTTACAGAAAAAGAAGTACAAATAGCTAGCATGCAAAAAATGCTAAACATTGCTGAAAAATATAAATTAAAACATCTCACATCAGAAAGAACAGCTGTCATCAAAAAATCAATAACAAATGCTGGCAGGGTTCAGGGGGAAAAAGAACTCTTCTCAGATTTTGATAGGAGTGTAAATTGGTACAACCACTATAGAAAGCAATATGGAGATTCCTCAAAAAACAAAAGGTCCCCAAAAAATGTTTTTTAAAAAGGAAAGTTTCTGCCGGGCGTAGTAGCTCATGCCTGTAATCTCAGCACTCGGGAGGCTGAGGTGGGAGGATCGTTGCCACTTTGAGACCAGCCTGTACTACAAAGTGAGCTCAAGGCCAGCCTGAACTGCATAGCTAGATCCAGTCTCAAAAAAGAAAAAAAAAAAAGGAAAGTTTCCATTTGACCCAGCTATGGCCCTCTAAGTATCTTCCTAAAAGAGTTAAAAGTCAGTAATATATATGTACTCAAGTTTATAGCAGCACAATAGCTAAATCTGGATAACAGCCCATATGCCCATCAAAACAGATGAATGGATAAAGAAAATGTGGTGTTTATCATTTATATAAATGGATGTAACTTGAGATAATATTAAGTGAAATAAATCAGACACACAACTTTAAATATTTCATTATTCCTCTTGCTTGAGGAAACCCAAAGTATAAATAAGGAAAATGGGGAGATACTAGGAAGTACAAAGAATTCATTTAAATGGGAAGAGGAATAAGAGTTGAGGGGTGGAGGAGGGAAAAAGAGTTTAAAGAAAAAAGCATTGAAGGGGAAAAAATGGGAGGAGAAAAATGTAAAATGCCAGGGAAACAGGTTGGAAAGAGAGGAGGACAAAAGAAAAAGAATGTGTTATGTACATGTACAAATCTCCCATGATGAATGTGATCATTATGTACTGCAAACGTGTTAATGGAAAAATAAATTCAAAAGGACATTTTCCTCAGAAGTTGTTGATAGAAATATATCTGATAGGTATTTGTATATTTGTAATGTTGTAGTTACCAGGATATTTATCGCAACATTGCTTACAGTAGTAATAATGACAATAACCATATATGTGTATCTATATGATAATATATTACACAGTTATTAAAATGAATTAGGAGGGGCTGGGGATTTAGCTTAGCAGCATAAGCACCTACCTTGGAAGTGTGTAGTCGTGAGTTTGATCCCAGGTACCAAAAAATATAAAAATTAAAAATTAAAAAAAATGAATTAGGAGCCAACCAGGTGGAATATGCCTGTAATCCCAGCACTTAGAGGCTAAGGCATGAAGATAGAAAATTTGAGACTAAACTGGAATACTAAGTGATTTAGCCAGGCCTTGTCTCAAAATAAGCATTAAAAAAGGGCTAGAGATTTGACTTAGGGCAAAAAGGCTTTGGGTTAAACCCCTAGAACTGGGAAAAAAAGAATTGGGCAGCAATGTAAGTGCTATCCAAAGACATTTTCTTAGAAATAAGTGCAAAAAACCCCATTTCTATGTATAGAAATAAGTTCTGAACAATAGAAGAGATGTTAATTGGCAGAGTTAAGATGGTATAAATTTTGCTGTATACTGTTTTCATCAAAATGTCATGTCATGTGGATCTTAAAATTCAAATAAACTGTTTTTATTTCTCTGGGTTTTCCTTTTTGTAAGAAATCCTTAAATTTTGCACCAAGAATCCTTGGACTTACCAGTTATTTTGTGATGAGTTAATGAGTAAACAAAAAGGTGGTGATATTTTTATGCAACTTATTCATAGAACCATGGAGTGAGTTGACAAAAGAATACTACACTATTCACAATAATCTTCAACAAAGAAAACTAGGTCTTTTCATAATCCTTTATGGAGCATTGTCTTTGGGCAATTGTAACTAGGGATTACTACATAACATTCAATTCTTGATGCTAGACACCTGTGATGTCTTTTTAGAAACATATCCATAGGCAAGAATGTTTAAAAAAAATAAAATAACAACTCACTTAAAACAATGGACTTTTCACATAGAAAGAACACGTTTTATGTGTAGTCACAATAAAAAAAGAGACAGGGTCTCTTAAAGTAGCTAAGTTGTGTAGCCTGGACTTGAATTTATGATCCTCCTGCCTCTGCCTCTAGGTATACTATGATTATAGGCATGTGACACTGTGTCCAGTCTAGCCAAGCTATTTTTTAAAATAAACAAGATTAAAATACTTTGTATATAAGGTGGAATAATTACAAATACTTTGTAAGAAGGAAAATTTCTTAGTGTTTGTTTCTATATAGTAAACTTCATCTCATTTTAAACAAAGGCCCCTAAGGAATGCCAAGCATTCAACCCTAAGAAGATAACAAAACATTAGCTCTTTTGCCCAATGACAATTAGCAAAAGTCTTTTTGTTCATTTTCAGTCTATCCTGCAGCCGTTATCAATAATAATAAACTTAAGTTTATTAAAAATTTTCAAATATAAAACAACTGTCAGCATTTTGCCATTTTTGCTTTTCTGTGTGAGTTTCTTTCTTCAGACTTTTAAAACACATTAAAGGTAGAACCACCATTCACACTGTACTTTTTGAACGTGTGTTTTTTTTGTTCTTCCCTACACAATCACCATATTATTACATCTGTCAAAAGGAATAGTTACCTCACTTTCCCTAGGTTGTCCCAGAAATGCCAGTTATAGCTGATCTGCGATTTGATATAGGACGAGTTGAATTTATTAGGTGACTTAATCTCCAATAGTACCTCCTTATTTTCTTTAGTGGCTTTGACTTATAAAAAAAGACTGTGGCCAAGCATGGTTGTACATACTTGTAAACCCAATCACACAGGAGCCTGAGGCGGGAAGATTGGAAGTTTAAACCCAGTCTGGACCATTGTCTCAAAAAAAAAAAAAAAGCTCAGTGTTTCCTGAATTCAGTCCCCAGTACTG